TTTATAATTACATAGAAAGGAACTATTGAATTTCTAGAAGACATTATGAATAGGTTTCTGGATCTGAGTGAAATGTCTGGAAGGGTGGCATATTGAAATCTATGAAAAACACTGATAGAGTCATCAGACTGCTCTCTTTTCTGTTTCATGTATAAGCAGGTGCTAGTAACACGAGGTTTGATAATAAGTGCTTTAATCTTAAAATCTGAACACTGTTGCTCAAGGGATGTGTGTAGCAAAGTCAGAACTTGTGGGACCAACTGCATTACACTAGCTTCATTTATCTTCTAAAGGGCATTTTTAGAATTTAGTTTCTCTTCCTATTTCATGGATTATTGTATTAGTCAGGATCAGTCATCCCAGCCAGCACAGGAAATATATTCAGAGTCATGGAGAGCCCAACATGGCCAGGTCGCAGTCTTAAATTCCAGTTCAGTGGAATCATTGTTGTATTTCCTAGTGGAAGCCTTCCTCTCTTTGGAATTAATACCTATAGGCCAGCAGAGCTTAGGATTCTGGGGACAGGAAGCAAAATTTTTACTAGTGGGTCACAAGGGGTAAGAGTGAGTTTTGTGTGTTACAACATACCATTGAGTCAGCTTGCCCAACTCCTGGTGACTCTATATGTCCACAATGTCCTGTCCTCAACAGCCCTGCTCAGCTCCTGTAAATGCATGCTTATGGCTTTTTTATGGAATCTGTTTTCTCATATTTGGTCTTCCTCGTTTCCTGCTGCCTTCTGTTTTCCCAGTATTATTGTCTTTCCAAAGAACTCTGCATTCTTGTGATGTGCCTGGCGTATGACAACTTCTGTTTTGTCATATTTTTTTTGCCTCCAGCAATGTTTCAGGTTTAGTTTGCTCTAGGACCCGCTTGTTTATCTTTCTGGCAGTCTAGGGTATCTATAGAGCTCTCTTGCAATACCATATTTCAAATGATTTTTTTTCTGTCAGCCTTCTTCACCATCTAACTTTTGCATCTGTACAAAATAATTTGGAATATGAGGATGTGGATGATCTTAGTTTTGGTCTCTAATGACACATCTTTTCTGAAATGATTTTTCCTAATTCTTCTATTGCTGTCCTTTGATAGCTGTTAGAGAAAAAATATTATTGGATGTCAAATCAGAGCATGTATAGCCTCCTGTCAAACCTTGTCCCAGCTCTGAAAGGATTGCCACCTAACTGGAGCCATAACTGAGTCTTTCCACTATTCTATCGAGCCAGTTGCTTCAGGATAGTATATATCATGATACAACCAGTAAATTCCATGATCATGGGCCATTTGCCACATTTAATTTGGTCAGAAGCAATGCTGTGTGGAATACCATGACTATGGATAAGTCATTCTGTAAGTCCACAGATGGTAGTTTTAGCAGGAGCATTGCATGCAGGGAAGGCAAATTCATATCCAGAATAAGTATCTATTCCAGTAAGAACAAAACACTCCCCCTTCTATGATAGAAGTGGTCCAAATTGATCAACCTGCCACTATGTTAGCTGGCTGATCACTCTGGGGAATGGTGCCATAGTGGGAATCAGTGTTGGTCCCTGCTGCTGGCAAATTGCATGCTCAGTGGTGAACATAGCCAGTTAGGCCTTGTTGAAAGAAGTTCATGTTGCTGACCTCATATATAGGGTGTCCCAAAATTCATGCAAGATTTGAATTTTGCATAAGAATTAACAACAACAACAACAACAACAACAAAAAGGCCTAATTTTACTTGTTTTATTGAATCAGATTCTAATATCTGTTGCCCTTTGATTTCAATCCCTTCAATTTGATAAGCATTATCAAGTATCAATTATGGCCCAGGAGCAGGGACGATGAAGACTAATGAAGACCACAGCTTTGCGTATGTGCCAGCAGAGCTGTGGAGGCCGTTTACCCGATGTGCTATTCCATACATAACCCTATACTATATACTTTATGAATCAATAAAAAATTTACAATTTTTAATTACAAACCTGTGTTTTCTATCAAAATTACTTCTTGCATAAATTTTGGGACACCCTATATAACCTCCATTTCCGTCATTATGGCTACTTTGTTCATGAGCCCATTGGGTAATGACAGGTCTAGCTGGGGAAAGAGGCTCTCTGGTGTCCACAGAATGTGTAGTCACCCTTTGGTGAGCACTTATGTGGGCTATAAATATGTGCCCATACAGAAAAGTCTACCTGCATTCCTCTTCCCAAATTCCTTTGCCACCAATTTTCTAATCATATTCCTGTCAGACCCTGACCCTGCAGCAGATCCATTGGCCACAGGCTATAAGTGTCTATATACACCACACATCTGGCTGTTTCTCCTTCCGAGCAAAGTGAACAACCAGGTGCACTACTTTAAGTTCTATCCACTGGGAAGATGTCCCTTCACCTTTGTCTTTCAAGGATGTCTCAGAGAGGGGCTCTTGTGCTGCAGCTGTCCATTTTGAGGTTGTACCTACATATCACGCAGAACCATCTCTAAATCAGACCTAAGTCTTTTCTTCTACCAGCTGATCAGAGGGAACTCCCCATGAGGCCTTCTGTGCAGCCTGGGAGAGAGAAGGTAGTGGAGCAGGAGTGGGTACCCTGGTCATTTGCCCACTTCTTCATGTAACTTACTTGTGCCTTCAGGGCCTGCTTTGGCCCAGTCAGCCATTTGATGACGGAGTACTGCTGTACCCCCTACCTTATGGTTTGGTGGGCCAGATAACACCCAATTCATGATGTAAAGCTCAGGTTGCATGATAACTTGGCCCAAGGTTAAGCTTTCAGTCTCTACAGTAACAGGCCAAAAGCTGTTTCTGCAAAGAACAGTAGTTATTTGTAGCAGATGGCAGGGCTTTTCTCTAAAATCCTAAGGACCTGCACTGCGATTCACCTACAGCAGCCTGTCAGAGCCTCCAAAGAGCATCCCCATCTGCCACTAATACTTCAGTGGTCTTAGATCTGCTGGATCATGTGGCCCAAGTGGCAGAGCAGCATGCACAGTGGCCTCAACTTGTTTTGACATCTTGTCTTATTCTGGGTGCTACTCAAAACTAGCAGTTTTTCTAGTTACTTGGTAAATGGGCTGGAATAACACACATAAATGAAGAATATGTTGTCTCCAAAATCCAAAGAAGCCTATTTGGATTGTAGGAGGGCAAGATGCAACAATTTACCTGCCACTTTAGAAGGGGTATCTCAACATGCTCCATGCCACTGAACCTCTGGAAATTTCACTGAGGTAGAAAGCCCCTGGATTTTTTCAAATATTTTCTTCCCCCACTGACTTATCAAAATGTCTACATTAGTTGATACTTTTTTCTTGCTAGGTCCAGTCAGCACAATGTCACTCATGTAATGGCCAAGTGCGATATCTTATTGAGGGAAAAGACTGGTCAAGGTGACCACAAACTAAATTCTAAAATATGGCTGGAGAGTTACTATGTCCCTGATAGAGGACAGTGAATGTGTATTGTTGGACTTGCCAGCTAAAAGCAACCTGTTTCTAGTGGTCTTTACTACCTTCAAATACAGCAATATTTGGGGCTATGGCTTCAACATGACTTTGGGGAGGAACACAATTCAGTCCATAATAGTTACACTTTGCAAATGATGCCCCATCTGACCATTTACAGATCAGCAAGGTTGTTAGATACAGGATGGTGATGAGGCTGTATAGACAGTGACTCTGTGTAAATTATAGGAAAAACAGCTTCCAAAAAGCAATTTACTTCCATATGTCAGAAAATAGTAATAATATGATCTTGCTGTTATAAGGCCTTTACCTACCTTTAGCTAGATCAGCACTATCTACATGAATGTGTTTTTTAAAACGGCACCTTTGTGCAGTACACACTTAACTCTTTATCGTTACCTGGACTTGACACCCTTTACCACTGGAGTGTCAGAATGGTTGGTTTTCATTACAAAACCATTAGTAAATTCTTCAGAGACATTGCCCCTAAATTATGTAGAATCTTATCACATAAATGGCAAATTATTTCATCTGTCTTGGAAGAATTCTACTTTGGATTTCAATTTAAATGCATTCTGGCTGCAATCCTGATAGTCCTTTAAGCAAGTAAACTACTTGAGTTTTCCCCCAAAATATACCCCAACATTAGAGAATTCCTAGTGTTTAGCTGTAGAGAAATTTGCACTTTTAAAGTAGTGAGATGAGTCTTCAATTTTAAAATATTGAAGCAAAACCATTTCTACTACGATCTTTTCTCTACAATTACTTCTAAACCAGCAAGGAAAACATGAGACAGTAACACAAAGTTACTCTCCATGAGAATTCCTTTTTAAAATTTCTCTAGAGACCAAGAAGCACACACAGTAAGCTCACCTTCAAGTACATTAGGAGCCATCTGCAACTTCAGTCAGAACACATCATGTAGAATGTGAATGGAGATATGGAAAAGTACTTCACGAAACAGTATTGTACCCATATGTTGGCAGGGGGGAAGGTGTGGGGGCTGAAGGGAAACAAAGCGATTTGGACTGGTCACCTCCATAAAG